GTATGTGATTGAATGAGCACGTGCAAGACAACTGTTATATCAAAATGATGGGGAAATGCCTTACATCTTGTTTTGTTTTTCCAAATTTCTGAAAGTCAAAGGTTGAAGAAGAACTCATTAAACAACAGAAAACTCAATGTCAAATACACACTATGTAGATAGTGTCAAATAAGTATGTCATAGCGCGTATATGTGGGATTTTGCATTTCTTTGCCCAAACCATAGACTTATATCATAATGTCCAAGACTGGGCACCCCTGACGTAATTCTGGTTCACCATGGAGCACACCATTTGACTCCATTTGTTGGAACCAAATGAAGGGCAAATAATGTTGAGCATGCACTCGACCATAGCTCGACTGGTGTTTTGCCTTTCTTTTGCGCGCTATGGTGCTAGCAGCGTCTGGTAGTTTTCATAGAGAGCAAAGACCGGGGGTCATGACAGTGCCCAGTCTAGAATAAATTATAACCCAACTCTAAGGCAGAAGATATTCGGAGACGTCTCTGGTAAGCACCCAGGAACTACAGTGTAAGGAGACGCACTCCCGCACACATATGTACTGCTTTTGGTGTGTGTGTGCGGGGGGGGGGGTCAAATTGCGTGTTATTTGCTGCAGATCGCTCATATTATAGCCACTAATACTGTCGCAAATCTATAATTGTCAAGAAAATGTCAAACTTAAGTGCAAAATATCAAATTATGGGTTCAAACAGGGAGGTGTGCTATCTGTAACCCCACCCCCGCCCCCGCGCCTCGATTTGTTTACTTGGTCTAGAGGCACAAAGCATTTTGATGGGTCTATTTTCGCCGGAGCCGTCTCCGAATAGATACTACGCAACTCTAACTTCTAAAGCTTCTTGACAGCGAAGTGCCTAGCCGCTACACCACCGACCCTGGTCGTATGTGATGAGGTATAAAATGTGCACAATGTTTAATTTGTTCGTTCTCTGTTGTCCTGCTTGATTGTTTATTCTCAGTATTTGGAAGAGCGATGAATATTCACACCACTTATTGGTTTGTTCGCTCGGTTGGTGTCATGCTGGACAGGCGCGGTTTGTCCATAGAGCACGGTCGTGCAGTGCCGCCCAAAATGTTTTTATGTTCTATGACGTAAAGCACCCACAATAATAAAATAAAAGAAGCCAGAAACAAACTCTAGCCAAATATTATATCAGAACAAGGCCCTCGCTGGCGCTGTAACTGTCATTTCTTTTCTATAGCGCCGTAAAACATCTACTATGCCATGCCTAAGTTCATGCGCTGTATCTAAACATAACAGGATAGTCAACAGTGGAAACCTAACCTATAAATCGCTCTTTGGGATAACCCAAGCGATGACGACACTTGTAGCTAGTTTGGCGGTACATTAATATTAATAAGCCGGCACATTTCAAATGTGCTCCTGCTGCATAGCGCCGAAACATAGCCCACAGTAGGCAATATGAAAATAAACGCCATAGACTGTGCACTATTCCATACCAAAATTATGTGGGCCCCGGAGCAATCCAGCGGAGTGCTCAAGTAAATTGTGATTGGTTCCTTGTCTTGTCGCTATTTTAAGTGACTCTGTGACCGTGAACCTGAGGGAGGTGAACGTGACATACTTAAGTCGCCATCCTATGAGTTGTGCTTTTGAACAGTTTTGTAGTGGAGTGGTTAAAGGTATTACTTGAGTGTTCAGTTCTAATGCAGGATGAATGAAATTGACGTTTAGCTAACAAACA